AGTCAGGAGCCCGCCTGGAGAACAGAGGCATATATTTCAAGTCTCAGCAGTCAGGAGCCCGCCTGGAGAACAGAGGCATATATTTCAAATTTCAGAAGTCGGGAGCCCGCCTGGAGAACAGAGGCATATATTTCAAATTTCAGAAGTCAGGAGCCCGCCTGGAGAACAGAGGCATATATTTCAAGTTTCAGAAGTCAGGAGCCCGCCAGGAGAACAGAGGCATACATTTCAATTTTCAGCAGTTAGGCATTCACCTGAAGACAGGGAAAACATCTCAGTTTATAATTCAAAGCAGCAGTAATGGAATTCCACCGGGAGAATACAAGTTAACAAGGCAACAACAATCACAAGAGCAAGTTTGAAGACATAGATATGATCTTTTGTAATCCATAGATCATAGCTTAGGCTAGCTTCTTTTATTTTGACACAGTGTAATAAGGAGATCAGCGAGCAGTAGCAGCAGCAACAGCAGGAAGTCGCAGCTCTTGGTAGTCCCAGCTACCAGACATTCCGGAACTACACTGACCTAATTCCTGTTTAGCCCAGGATATGTAGGCAGCCTTTGAAGCAGGGTGCGGTCAACTCTTTCAAAAATGCTTCACACGGAATATGCGAACGGGCAAAAATTGCTCGTTTCCGCTCACTTATCTTTGCACGAAAACTCTTCGTGTTTCCGGGCAAAGAGGGACAGCTGTGAGCACGTGATTTTTGCCCTAAGCAAACTATTTCCAAAAGTCTCAAATAATTGATTTCTCTTTATTTTTACAATCTTCGTGAATTTTTTGCTAGCTTTTTGTGTTAATTGGTTGCATTTTATTCATATGAAAATACAAATATGCATTTGCATTTAGGGATTTCATGTCACAATTTTAGTATAAGGTAGTTTTAGGACAAATTTAAAGAAAATTGCAAAAAAATGTTACTTTGCACGTTTAATTGTTAATTGTCGCATTTATCTTTAAATAATATTTTTTTAAAAATAATTTTAGGAGTTAAATAGTTTAATTAAGGTTCTTTGTTTTGTTTTGTACATT